TCAGGGGTTGTTGTGCAAGGCACGACCGATTTCTCGTGATACAGAACGACCACGCTGCTCTTGCTGTTTCCGGGTCGCGGCGATTCCGATCGATCCCTCTCCAGCTGGACTAGGAACGTCCAGGGATTAAAGCGGTGCTCTTCGCGAGGATGGTGCCGGCGCGAGTTCCGGCTGCGTGGCCGCCCCTCGTCCCGCCGACCCCGCTTCCGTTCACCCGTGAATTATTGCGCTCCTTGCCGAGGAACACGTAGGCGAACAGGAACAGCGCGAAGAGGAACAAGTACATGGGATCGGGGCGACCGGAACGAGAGACGCGACCGAGTTTGCGGGATTTCGGGCCTTGGGGATGACCAGAATCATGGGACCGCTATAAATAATCGAGAAAACGACCTTTCAGCTGATTCGAAGTGGTTGTGGGAGTGATGCAAGTCCTTTTCCAGGATTTTTAAGCAATTCGGTAATCGAAGATTTGTGTGGAAAATTCGTGATTCGGAAAGTTAGGTGTCTGAATACTTGTTTGGAAAATTCGTAATTCGGAAAATTAGGCGATCGAGTACTTGTTTGGAAAATTCGTAATTCGGAAAATTAGGCAATCGAGTACTTGTTTGGAAAATTCGTAATTCGGAAAATTAGGCGATCGAGTACTTGTTTGGAAAATTCGTAATTCGGAAAATTAGGCAATCGAGTACTTGCTTGGAAAATTCGGAAAATTAGATTTTGCTTAGGTTCGGATTATTTGATTTACTTTCATTTAAAAAAAGTTCGTCATATCGTCGAACAAAGTAAAAAATATGCGGATGACCATAAAAATGCGTTATTAAATAGATTGATCTCCCTCTCTCAACGAGTTCCATAAATTTCTACAATTTGTATCTCGTAATCATAGTACTCACGACAGCAATACAAATCCCTAAACAATCCGCGAGCTCCCAGTAACACGAAATATAATTAACTATATTCTTCGTACAATATTTTACCGATATTCTGCAGTCGCCCCCAAAACTCGAACGCGCAAACAGATCAAACTAAACGTACCACGTGATGTTGACTTACACTTTTTGCTGTTCCGACGAATCGTCCGTA